TTCCTGTAACCGGCCGGACTGACAGGAAGTGCACACTCAGTGAGCACCTTCCTATCACTCCGGCCGGCCACCGCGGACCGGAGTGCAGCTCGGCCACGCTACAGGGGAGAAGCTGCAGCCGCCTGACCGCTCTTCACAGAGCGCTCGGGCGGCTGCAGCATTTAAAGGGCCGGCCCAGGAACGCCGCCGGCCCCCAGGTGCCGCGGCCCACCGGGAAATTTCCCGGTATCCCGGTGGGCCAGTCCGGCCCTGAAATGAGATCCTGTTTGACCCTCAATACATAGCCTTATCTCATTATTGGAGGGAGCTGCTATAATCACACTGGGGATTGCTATGCTCTGCATACTCCCCTGAGCTTGAATCACTTAGCTCTTTTAAGAGCTTGTTCCTGATACGCTCTCCTGGAGGAGAGGTCTTCCCCACACGGTCCTGGAGGATAGAAGCTGATCCAGGGTGGATGGAAGACGACGAGGCTCCAGTTAAGCTACGGCGGTTGTGGAGCATGCAGTGGTTGTAGTGTCCAGTGCGGTGCTTGTGGTCCTCGGCCCAAGCTAGGAAGCGTCCATTAATGTAAGGTGATCCGTTACAGCCGCTCATTCTCATTAATGATCATGAGGTTTATCAGGAAACTGAAGTGGTTGGCAGCCTGTCCCAGGCATTTTTAACACGGCTGCTGACCAGTTATCTTGTTTCCAATTTCAGGCATTCAGAAGGTCCCAGCTTGCACCAATACATCATGTGATCGCATTAAATTGTGATCACATGACTTTCTTATTTCTCTTTATCTTTTTATTCTTATTTATAACACTCGTTTTACTTTTAAATTTTAATAATTACCATATATACTGTTTTATTAACATCATGTATCTTTTCTTTTATGATTTTATATTTTTACACTATTATCAATTGTATTGATGACGTCATTTTGGCGCCAAAATTTGAATTAACATGTTTTATCTAAGTTTATATAAGTATTCATGTACCAGGCTGTTTTTTACTATTGCCAGTTGATAAAGCCCTGTGTGGCGAAACACGTTTTGGCTATTATCTATATTTTATACTGTATTAATAAAGGAATATTGGCCTTTTTATTATAATTTTGCCATATACCTTTTTTTATTTTATTTTATTAATTCCCTGGTACCTGGTCACTCTTTACCTTGGAGTCTACACACAACCAAGAATCCTAGGTGGGGATTGTACCACTCATGCGAGTATACTGAGCAGTTTATCCTGCTCATCTGAATGTGAGTATTTTTATTCTTTTATTTTATTTATTTTATTTATCCAGTGAGCACTATATTGTGTTTTTTATTCCTTTTCTCATACGGAGGAACCGTCTTCACCTATATCCTACCAGTGGGGGACCAACGCCACTGAATGCCAAATATACTAGAGCGAGTTTATGCTCTGAAATAGGTGAGTGTATTACCTCCCTATTATTCTTCATATTCTCAGTTATCTACAGACAATCTACACTATTGGATTTTCTCTGCTCTCTTTATTTTTCATGGTTTCCATTGAATCAAGACTACATCTACATCTACTTTAGAAGATCCTGTTTTTCATTGAATACACCACTCCTGTGCCGTAAACAGTAAGAGATGGACACAAAGTACTGAGATTTTCATCTATCCATTGGAATTTATCATAAGCACACCAAGTATTTGGACTATTTATTATACATTTTCCTTATTTTACAGTTTTTAGTGTATTACAATATATTATATTTATTTGTTGTAGCGCGACCTATTTTTTCTGTTTTTGCCATTTCTCTTCTGAGGATTTTAGAGGGAACCTCATACCTATAGGTTGCAGCTATCTACTTGTTTCTAGCCTCCTAGTATATCACGCAGCGCTGATCCATTTTCCTTTTGTATTCAAAAGGTCCCTACCTACAGGCTCACTACTGGCCACGACCGCCCCCCTGCTCAAAGACCTAATTATGGATTAAAAGAACTACTACACCTTAGCAAAGGGTTGACAAA